CCTTTTGGTGATCAGCCAAGCACTGCACTGTTGTGCCCTCAGCTCCTGGGATAGCTAAGTAGGTTGTTCCATCCCCACCCCTCAATCTTCTCTCTGAGCCCTGAAAGCCAGAGGGCCAGGCTGCTGGTTCTTGTGCTCAGGACTGCCCCCGGCACATATCAAAGCTTGAGGCCATCCTGTGCTGTTCTGGGCCTGGGGGCTTAGGACCGTGGTCTTGGGAGACCCACAGGTCCACTAACAAAACGCAGTCCCCAAAGACAATGGTCTATGTCCTGCTTTGGTGAGTCCTGACTGGGCTCTAAAAGCTCACGAGCAGCCAGCTGAGATGCAGCTACAGTTTCCTCTCTGTCCGGATGGAAGAAGAGGGAAGCAAACCAACGAGGCACGGAAGCAGTGAGTCCCACAGACTCATCAACCCGAACCAGACTCCCTGCCACTGAGTCAACTCCCATCACAGCGGCCCAAAGGAGAGGGCAGAACTGGTGGCATAGTGGTTGCAAATTGGGCTGGTAATTGCAAGGTCAGCAGTTTGAAACCAGTAGTCCCTCCAAGGGAGAAAGCGTGCTTTCTACTCCCGTAAACAGTGATAGTCCCAGGAACTCACAGGGGCAGTTCTCCGTGTAGGGTTGCTGTGAGTCGGCATCGAGTCAATGGCAGTGAGTTTGGTTTGGTTAGGGTTGCTACTCCTGTGAAGAGTTACAGTCTCAGAAATCCACAAAGGCAGCTCTACTCTGCCCTTTAGGGACTCTCTGAGTCAGAATTGACTTAATGGCTCTGTTAGTCAGGGTTGACTAGAGAAACAAATTCATAGACACTCATATGTGCGTAGGAAAGTATCGAGAGTAATTGTACATTAAGAAAACAGCCCAGTCCAGATCAAGACCATAAGTCTGATATTAGCCCATATGTCTGATACCAGTCTGTAAATTCCTCTTCGAACTCACGCAACACATGCAATGACGCTGAGTGCAGGAAGACCACTGGCCAGTGGGTGGAAAGTCTTGTGGATCCAGTGGCAGTGCAAGCATCTTAGTGCTGGTATGGGTCTCCACACGGCTCCTCCAGCTCCAAGGGCTGCAT